CCAATTGGTCCTAGGACCGAGAACCAGTGGTCCGGTCCAATCTACTGAAACCAGTTTTATGTCAATGAAATTCATTTAGAGTTTAGATTACATTAAACAAACTTTTTTCAAGAAATAAAAAAAATAAAAAAAAGTATATGTAGTCGGTCCGGTTTCCCCTTTGAACTAGGAACCGGACTGCTTAGACACTGCTCTACTTTTAAGAACTGGGAATCGGACCCAACAGGCCGATTTGGTCCGGGCGATTCTCGATTTGGGCGGTTCGTTTTTCATATCTCTAAAACGAAATGCTTGGGTTTTTTTGTTTATAAGAGCAAAATGTTGGGTTAGACAGTAAGGGAGTTGGCTCCTCTCATTGTGGTTTCAAATGCTAACCTTAGTTTTGAGCATTCTTAAAGCTAAATGATGGACTGAGGCGAGGGGAGTGCACCCTCGAGATTGCTCGGAGATGAGGGTGTGTGCACCCTTAAGATTGCTGGGGAGGCGAATTGGTTGAAACGCGCGAAAACCACCACATTGCCGCTAAACCCTAAATAAGAAAAAATGAGCTAACCCCGGCGTCCATGCCCAGGTCCATTGAGGCGAGGCACGTGTTCATCGACATTGGGCTCGGGACCTCGATGCCCGAGCCTAGGTCCCTTGAGGCCGAGCGGGATCTCGGAGCCCGTTCCTCGGTTCTTGGTCCCCGGGTACATGGAGGTCGGGTTCGGGTCCTCGACGATCGGGTTGGGGTCCATCAAGGCCGAACTCGTGACCTAGTACCCATTTCCGATTTCCGAATTGCTTATGCGTGAATCTCTATCGTCCATATAATATATGTCTATTTAGAAAAATCAAATTCTTATCGAACACAGAAAAATATTTTCTAACTTATCTTCAGGTTTCAACCACGTACCGAAAAAATGTTATTAACTTTCTAGAAAATATTTTTTAAAAATATCACATTTTCCGCGAAATTCTCTTTGATCTTGTCTCGGGCACACTGAGGGTGCGTATGACAATCATTCTGTGCCCGAGAACTATTTCTACTCAGAAATGATTCTTTTTGATTCTGTGCCCGGAAAAAATTTCTGAGCATTTAAAGGCGTTTGGTAACTGTCTAAAATTTCTATTCCTGGGATAGAAAAGAACAGAATACGTTTGGTAACTACACAAAATTTCTTTTTATTAATAATATTTTAAATTGTTTAATTTTTTTTTTCTTTCTACCCTTCCCTTCTTTGGCCATGGCCGGTTGCCGGCGCCGGCGACCGGCCACAGGCCAGGGCTTCGCAGCCCTCGCCACCGCCCTGGCCGCCTGCCTCACCGCCGGCCTCGCCCAGATCAGGCGAGGCCGACCTCGCCATGATCGACGGCGAGCCACCTCACCCAGGCGGCGAGGGTCCAGCCCTCGCCCTCGCCGGCGAGGGGGACCCTCGCCTCCGCCGGCGGCCGGCGAGGGCCATGACGCCCTCGTCGGCCATGGGCTATGGCTGGTCGCCGGCGGCCGGCCGGCCGGCCGTCGGCGACCGACCACAGCCCAGGGAAGAACAACATAAAGAAGAAAAGAAAAAGAAGAAAAAGAACTCATTCTCAAAATTATGTCGAGAAACAAGAAGCAACTTTTTTTTACTTCTTGTTTCTTTTTCAAAACTGTTTCTGGGCACAAATTTTTGCAAAAATATGCCAGGGAATAAAAAGTTTACCAAACGCATTTCTGTTCCCAAACTATTTCTGGAAATAAAAGAATAGAAATTTTTACTATTTGACACGTTACCAAACGGGTCTAAAGCAGGTGCTACGGGTAACCGGAAAAAGTTGGCACTCTTGCCATTGACGGCTAACGCAAATGAGCGAAAGTTGATGCGCTTTTGTGGGCGATTAGGGCTACGCACGAGCTGAAAGGACAAGAACTCCTTTAATTCGAGCGGCGACCCCCAGAACAGGAAAAGACGAAGGTTCTGTATGGTCGGTGTTTTCACGTGAGTTAATGCCCGAACAAGCAAAAAACATAAATAAATAATATAAAAGTAAAAAAGAGGAAAAGGAAAAAGAAAAAAAAGCGGTCATTGGAAAAATAAAAGAATTTGTCAAAGAGTGCCCAGCACGCAATTTTTTTGAGCAACCAAATAAGAAAATGTTGCTGTTTTTTTATTACATTTCTTTTTAATGTCACGTGTAATGAGTACCTTGAAAAATCGAAGAATTTCTTTATAAAGTATTTAAAAAAAATTAAAAAAAGAGAGAGGGAATTAGACAAAAAATATGATCTGATGCTTGCCGATAGAGAAAGGTATGCGTGCTCCCCTGAGAAATAAAGAGGAAGGAGCGAATGCCGGCCCAAGACCCGGCCAAGGGCGCGTCCGTATTCGGGTCAACCGGGGCCCGGCGAACACGTTTGTTAAACGGGTCAAAAATACGGTCAGTCCATATCTCGTCCGTTTTAATTGGGGTTGACTCTTCTTTTGTCCTATTGTTCAAAGCATGCTTTGGTGTTATCCATTTTTACAAAAAAAAAAAGTTATAACGCTCAATGCACGACGATTAACGTTCGATGCACCGAGGCATGCGTAGCATTTGTCGTTAGGACGCTCAAAAAGGCCTCTCACGAGGCAAATCCGTTGCCCTTTGCCTTTGCCTCGTGGTACTTGCCGCGTGCAAAAATCCGAAACGGTCCGAGAGAGTTCGCGGACAGAGCGTGGAAGAGGAAACGCTTCACGGGGGCTTTTGAGACCGTCCTTCACGAGTTGGTGGTATCATCCATTCTTTCCTCCGAGGGATGTCGGGTTCTGACGAAATAAGATCGAACTTTTCGGTTCTTGTTCAGCTCGATGACGACGAGAACACGGTTCTACATCATCTACGCATGCGTCAAATAAACGATCCGCGAAACATAGGCATGCATCGAATACAAATATGTTTCGTCACTACATATTCACTGGGCAAACTTTTGACCGTAATATTTTTGTACGACGTTATCCGATTTCAAATTCCCTTTTTATCCTCCACGGCAAGAGAATTCACTTCAGGGCGAGCGAGTCTCGGTCAAGAATATTTAGAAATAAACAGTGAGGCTATAAGGATCAAAAGGGGTTATGATTACAAGGACAAATCAACTCTCGAATAGTCTTCCAAGCAAAATCAAATGAACAATGTCCAAAGAAGGAGAATGCCGACACAAAATTTGGTGTGGAGTCGCTAAAAAGGTTACCACCGCGTGGGGTTTGGACCGCAATCGCGTTGACGTTGACGAGAACTTTTAGGTGCTGGGGGCAAGCGCCATACGACATCGGAATTAGTTGGCCAAACCTCGCCAACAATCAAGTAAAACGACACCATCACCAATCGGGAAAAAGGTGATGAATGATGATGACGTTGATGAGCGAGTACGAACTTGGAGATGGGCCAAGGCCCATGGGCTGCGAGCACGACCAGCCTTTTTCATACTGGGCCGAGCTGAGGATTTGGGCTGGGCCCACTCACTGTAGGATTAGACAAGATATACATCGACCTTCGGTAAAGGGCAGCAAGCTGTATCTTTCAAATTTTATTTTTAGTGCATCTCTAGTGTTAATTAATTGAAAGAATTAATGCACCAGATCTTCTGATGCGTAGTTATGACCGGATCTATGAGATATGTTTTTTCGGTCTCTATCGGAAAAAGGTACGTCTTCGGCTTAAGAAAACCACCGTCAAAGTCGACGATGAGTCGGAAAAATGCAAAGGCCAATTGAAATATCAAAATGCTAACGGCTGTGTCGACGGGTATTATGGTTGTTTCTAGTGTAAAGGTCCATTTCTTATTTCATGGTAGTCATCGCCCAGAGCATTGGCCGTCGGCAATCACCACGTGGTGGTTAGGAGTGCGAGGACGACGTTGGAGACCCGATGAGCTAGATGCATGCGCAACTTGGTGACCGATAAGATAGAGTGCTTGAGCAGCACAGAGAACATGGTCTACACGGCATGATCTTGCGGCAATGTCGCTCCGGCCAGCATGCACTGTGGAGATGAGCACGACTCAATTTTGAAAAATGCAAGAATAAGAAAAATTCTTACTCATCCTAATGGTCATGAGATAACTAGGGTCAATAACGTTACATCAAATAAACGTTTGGTTCATACTTCACGAGCACAATTAATAGCGATTGCCCATTATATTCTTAAAATGCGATTGGCTTGATTTGCTAAAAATATTTCCCAACTTACCTTTAGACTAATAAAAGATTGTGGAAACAACATCAGTTGTAGTTGTACGATTTTACGATGATTCAACATGACTTTCTTTTGAACGAGTCCAGTTCATGCCATGTTTCATTGGCATTTGCAATTTTCTCGGGGGCCAGATTTCAAGGCTCTTGTCCGTGTTCTGGTGTTCTTCTTAATGGAATTGTCTAAAATCGTCTGTCGCCTCATCATCTAATCTTACGGATCGATAGGAATTAAGCAGCATATGTCAAGGACATCGCTAGAAAACAAAAGAAGGATTTTGTATGAATTCCCGAGGATGATCGTTGATAAAAGAATAAAGTCACCGTGTCTTTACAAAGATGAGAGTTCAAGGAACAATGTCAAATCACTGAACTCCTCCAAGAGTGATGGAGCTGGTGTTCCAAGGATGACAGTAAAATGATCCGGTCGATCCATGTAACCATCATGACCGGCCCTATTCGCAGCTCATCTAAAGCATCGAGGACACCGACCCAGAATGGGCTATCTACATTTGGAAAAGAGTTGAGAAAACACCGCATCCACAACCAGGAGAGAGGGACAACAGACGGTGAAAAGAAGCGAGCAGAAGACCGACCTGATCCGTCTTCCATGACCTTTGGAAGGAAATGTGCAAATGGAATCCTTTTATCCGGCATTAGATAAATGAAAAGGATCATCAGACATCAATGCTAACATAAAACATAACAATTAAAGTAAGAGATAGGGTACTACAAACTCATGATCGGACCTGAGTAGTACCCGAGGGCTGTAAGGATCAGTTTCAGCCTACCCTGTCACAAGGAGAAATATGTACCGAATCAGTTCAGGCAGCCTGATTATGTCTTACACCTTCCGTCCTTCTCCATAGTCCATAATGAACCATATAGACAATTTGCCAACATCCATGAATCAAATTGAACCATGATTCTTTGTATCTTGCAACATTTAATTGCAGGATTCTAAGTATCTTCGATCAGATGGACAGACTGTGAGTCCTTGTGCTGAATTCATTCTATTTTTCTTTCCTCTGTCAAATGCTACCAATGGTTACCGGACAGTGATATGCTTTCGCATTACTCACCACTATTTTGATGTCCTCTGAGTTGAGCAAGGGCTGCTGCAATCTTAGCCCCAACTTGAGCATTGTTCTTTAATAACGCAATATCTGTTGTATGTCAAGAAAATCAATATTCCCCAAAAATCCAGTTATTATTGCAAGGTGCAGTGGAACATTCCACTCTTAAGTTAGTCTCCGAAGGCGTATGGATTGAAACGCTGTTAATTTAATTCATTGCAACAAATAGGTCGCTCAAAAATGCACCAATATAACTTGTTACCACAACATGAAAAGCAGAAATAGAAGTTAAAGCATATAAATGGTCAAAAGAAGGATACTGGACGCGAGCGAGGTGCCTCCTGTAAGTTCATTGACTCTAGATAGCAGGAACGGGGTTTCCGCATTTCCCGTTATATTCTTAGCCCTGAAAATACAGAAAAAAGGAGAAGACATTATATGAATACAGAAGACATGCAAGAGGATGATCAGGCTGAAAAAATGAAAAAACAATATTTAGATACACAATATAAGGAAACAAAAAGAGAAGTTCACCTAGCTTCTCCAATGGCTCTCTCGATCGCATCCTCAATTAATTGACCAGAAGCTGAGTGTTCTTTGGGAATCGGTACGGCAAAAAGGATTCCACTTCCTAGCCGGAGCTTCATATTAGCATCTGCCATGAAGAACAGCTATGAGGAGATGCATGCAAGATAACCCTATAATAAGAAGATAAAACCAGGGACAAAGGACCTCAGTCACTTGCCTATAAGTCGAGCACAATCTTCGGGTGTGTCTACACGACAAGGCACCTAGACATTATTTGAGACAGTTTCAGCAGACTTGGTGCAAGATCTTGGCACAGTCATATAAGTTGCTTTGCTACAAATATAAACTCCAAGGATCATGAGGGCGATCCTTTGTCTTCTATAGAATCCACCATCAATTTCAGCCTATCGAGACATTCAGAATACATAGCTCTTCGAAACCTCCAGCATAACTACGTCTATGTAGAGTACACGATCTTTAATAAAGTTGCATACTTAACTATGTAGAGTTCACAATCTCTAATCAAGTTGCTTACTTTGTCCTCTACACAAAATTATTGTTGGCACTTGAGAAACTACAGTGAAAACAGTCTAAACGGCTGAAAACTTTTCCTTCAATGAAAATTGAAAATCACAAAAGCATAAAGCAGGTTCTGTTAAATCCGGAGGACCTTGAGGAGACTAGTTTCCTTATCTACCATTCATATGGCACGCCTCCCCCCTGTAACTCAGATATCATGAGCTGAAACAGATGCAGTATGAAGATTGCAAGAACGTGGTTTTGGTCAAGTATAGGACTAATAGGAGGCACTCTGTTTGTTCTGGCTAAGCCATTGAAATTGTGATAATGAATTATCAAAATCTCATCATATCACATTTATGGCTGTTCAAAGCAAATCAAAACAATAATCATAAGGGACTGGACATGTGATGAACCATGCATTCAACCCCTCTTTCATAATTTAAAATCTAGATCCACATGTTTCTATCTTAACTAGACCGCACACTATCCAAACTGCCCATCTCATTTCCAAGTAAATGATAATGTGCAGCAAGGAGCAAATGACAAATGCAAATAAAAAATTAGACAGGTTTTTCACAAAATAGGGTTTATTGTCCTGACCCGGCAACCACTCCTCTCTGTGAAGAAAGCTGGAAACTCATTAGTAGCATATGTAGCAACACAAACACCCTGGGTTTCCTGCAATGGAACAATAGAATCAACAACTGATGTCCGTGTACATTAACTTCTGTTCGATGTCAATAGGTTCCGAAGAAAAATCCGATCATACCAAGTATTCAAGGGTCCTAGGAATGTCCAGAATAGATTTTACACCAGCAGAGACAACTGCTACTGGAGTCCTTCCAAGCTCTGTAAGGTCAGATGAAGTGTCCAGTGCTACATGTGAATTACAAAGACAAGGTAATATACATCAGTCCTAAGATCACAAAGGCTCCACTAATGAAAGCTCAAGGCAATGGAATTGTACACAAAATGCACAAAATGTCAGAAACAATAGTATGACTCCTCTTTTTCTTGAAGTAGATAGTGACATTGTCTGGTGCATCTTGGAATCCTTCGTAGGGACAGGACAAGAGTTGTCTTCGAGTTTATAAGAAAAAGCACACCAAAACTAAAGAATTTGGTGGAAAAAGAGGACGGAGGAGATAAAAAGCTAACATTATCTTATGGCTTTGTTCAAAATTTTTGCAGCTATCGCCAAGTGGCAATGGCACCCCCACCCAAGGCCATTCGTTCCAAGAGCAATCATTACTTAAATTCACCTGTAGGGGCCATGGACTGGGAGAGGACTTTTGTGGCTGCAACATTTAGAGTAAGATGAGGGTGGTGTGTGGAAAAGGAGAAAGGATTTGGGGGCTCTACCAATGGGTGTACAATGTCTGAATTTTACTAACCATATCCAAAGTGCAATTGATGTTCAAAATATTTCAATGGCCAATGCCAAGAGAGGGAATGGGTGGTGGAGAGAGAAGGAAAAGAAGTTGAAGCACTGATGGTACTCCTATGAGAGTCCATGGATGTTTAGTAAAAGTACAGAATCACCAATTTTGGTTGCTTCTAAATCAAGTAGACAGACTCTAGTCAAAGTAAACTTACTATTCTCGCCATGTCGATGCACTCCTCCAATTCCTCCAGTAACGAAAATAGGAATGCCAACCTGCAGGAACTTGAGTACAACTTGAGAAAATTGCTCGACAATTAGCCTTTAAATGAAATAAAACGAATTGAGATGAGAGAAACAGAAGTGCTGACCTTGGATGCGAAAAACATGGTAGCAGAAACTGTTGTCGCACCATTTCCTCTAATAGACACCTATAAAGGCCACAATCAATCTTTAACATCAGCACGATCGAACAATGGTGTCGCAACCGCCCTTTAGATGTCCACAAATGGGAATGATAAGGAAGAAATGTCATCCATCACGACTGTTTTCTGTCTCATTTTCCCACGTATGCTTCACTCTAGGCATAGATTTGGCAGTCGAAAAGTTTGATTATTGCAAGTATTGTTGATAAAGTCAAAATATCAGGGGATGATCATTTCCACAGTTTTAGTACTTTATGCATCAAGAAAACATAGTAGAAAGTTGTTTTGATATTTCTCGTGAAAAAATTCAATGGTTTAGCGCAGCTCCTATTAAAGGAAGAGTCATATTAGCATATATACACTGTTCCAAGTAGAGCTAGTTTGTTTTTTATGCAGCAGTAATATTACGAATCACTTCAAGCAAATCCTCGAATAACTGGTCAGGGCCCGTTCTACCCCTTCGATAGCCTCATAATGCCCTTTGCCTTTTCAGCACCCCTAGGTTTGCTGCCACCACCCTTGATGTGCTGGGGAGCATTTTATAGGTATGACATTTAGAATAAGGATTCTGGCAGCCGAGGCCATGCCTCACCAAGCTAGCTGCCACTGTCCAAAGCCACTGCCACGTGGGGCCAGAGTACATAGGAATTTGCACACTAAGTGACATGCCCAAGAACTTGATCTTATACTGATAACAAACTGGCCGAAAACGAAGCAGCCTTCACAAAAGTTGAAGGTATGGAATTGGCAATGAGGATGAACCTTGTAAATATTACATTTCAAACTTTTTTGTACTCCAAGTGGAACTTGGTCTACATTATAAGAGCTACAACCATGAGATCTTGTAACATAAGAAGGAAGATTGTATGATCCATTCCATCAGTATATCCTAAGCCAAGAACCAAAAATGCCTCCATCTTCACTTGAAAGAAAAAAAAAAATAACTATGGTGAGAAACAAACATGGGCCAAAGTACAAGAGCCACTCACCACATGCGCAATATCCCTACGAGCCGTCTTTTGAGCTCTACTTCCAAGATTAGCAAGCTTTTGTAGGTCTTCCAAGCTCAGGCCTGCACATGGAATAACAAGTGAGATTTAATAAGAGGACCAGCATTGTCACTATCTACATCAGAGGTAGGTCAGCTCATCCTTACAGAAGAGCACCAAAGGAAAGATGTAGTAATATGCACATTCACAATTTAAGGCATCCTTCCTTCTAGATTCTATCAAACATCATGTCCTAAAAGCTGGCGAGAAAGATCTAGTAGCAGTCCTTTCTGGCTAATATTAGATGTCTCAACCTACAATATGACTTTTATCATTCCTACTCATGGAAGAATACAGTTGGAGAAGAATAAGACTTGAAACTTTTGCAGCTAGAAGAGTACGTCTTTCAGAAAACCATATTAAAAGGATAATGAAGGCGACAAAGGATACCTATGCATGGTACACCATCTAAGATGGCTATTGTTGCAGGAATAGCTCCATTTACCCTGACAATTGCCTCCAACTGCTTAGCAGTCTCGAGATTCTGAGGATAAGGCATTCCTGATAGAAGGAAACCGGGCATGCAGAAATGAAAACGATTACTAGCAGAGAATCGCAAGCAGTTAAACACAGCCGGCAACATGGAGATGGAATCAGAGCATATACCGTGAGAAATGACGGTGGACTCCAGGGCAACAACTGGTTTCCCACTCGACAAAGCCTCAGCCACCTCCGGAGATATCTTCATCAGTCCACTGGCATCGTCACTCTACAGAGAGAGAGAAACGCAGGAAATAAGTGCAACCTCAATCCTCTTTGCGGTAACTTAGAGAACTATCATAATCCTCCAACTCTCCGAAGTACAAAAAAATAAAACACAATAGATGAAAGTTTTGGCTACAAATGGGGCTCTGATACATTTGGGTAACTAATTACTCTTGCACAAGACATCCTAAAATAAAATCAATCACCTATTTTCCTATTGAAGTTCACTCCATACTCGACATCTTCACCAACAGAACTCAAATTTGCCGCTATTTCCGCGGCAGTTCTGGATGCTAAATCTCTTCTTCACGCAAGCTCGTCGAAAAGCCACTCCGACCCAAGTTTCAAATGAGACACGACTACTGGTTAAGGCAAAGAAGACGCAAAATACGAGCTTCGGGAAGTTTTTGTCACTGGACACTCGAGTACCCTCGACCGCCCTGCAAATATGCCTTAGCCTCACCGAGATTGATAAAAATGAGAAAAAACAAGTAGCGATCATCCATTTCGGTGAGATCAGCCGTTTGAGTTCGGGATCTCTCGAGCAACGAACACGGAAAGAACATGAAAAGCAAAGAACCCAAGTGCGAAGAGAGTCAAAGGATCAAACTTTCTTCGACCCAGCTTCGAAGCTCTTCGATATCATCAACAGTAAAGGGCGAACGAACGCAATTCGTTCAATCTGCAACGAAATTTAAGGGGGCGAGAACTGGTATCACAGTGAGAGAGAGAGAGTGATTGTGTGTACGGTGGAAAAGGACAAATTTTGAAGCTAGTGATGGGGAGAGACGTCCTAATTTCCTCAAAAAAGGAAAGTTCGATCCGTTGCTGCTTCGCAATGGGAGCGCGACATTGTCGGAGAAACAGGCGAAGACCGGACGAAGAAGATGGAGCTGACGTTACCTCGGGAAGCTTAGAGTCGGCGGGCTGCAGGTGGCGGTGGAGGTTGGTTAGTCTCGAGATGGCTGAAGAATGCATTTCCAAACTGCGGATCCAGAGAAAGACAAGAGTTGAGCACTGGGCAAGGCGAAGACTGATGATGAAGACGATGAGGGAAATCTGAACCGGAATCTGGAAGAGTGACACCAGACCGGTTACCGTAGAATAGCCAAAAACCGGACAATTCGGTCCAGTATGGTCCGATTCCTGAGTTGGACTGGGATCATGCTCACTCCGAATTGAGTTACTCTTCGAAGCTCCAAAAAGAATATAACCTTCAACGGTTTAATATCACTAAAAATCTCAAATTACAACTCTGGGATTGAATCTACCTAAAATTAATTTTCGTGATATAAAAAAATTATTGAACTGATGCACCCGTATCACATTTAGCCCAAATTGATTTTTATATTACAAAATATTTATTTATCCCAAATTAGTACATCCAATGTAGTACATGTGTATTATGGTGTTTGAGATTTTTGGTGATGTTAGCCCTTTTTAGTATATACAAGAGGAAAAAGAAAAAAAATAAATATCATATCTGATTTCACAATTTCGTACTTTTGGTAAAAATGATATTTATGCCGACTGATGAGTGGTGGCTACGAGGAAATTTTGTTATTAATGGGTAAACGACTTTGAAATTAATTTTGGACAAGTTTTTATGCTAAAAAGTTAGTTTTGTCTTATATATGATTAGCACCGGGGTTCAGACGCGCTGCGTATGTGCGAATAATTAGGCAATTATGTAAAGAAAGAATGAATTAAGTATCATAATGGGTGGACCCAAGATACTAAAAAGTAAGGGTAATTTAACAGCGGGAAGAGGAAAAAAAAACAATTGATTTTATAAAAAATAAATGGGTATAAGAGAAGAAAGGAGGGATAATTTTGGAAATTTCTGAGACAATTGAGTGTTTTAATTTAAATATCTAAACATGGAGTACGCATATTTTTTTATATAAAAGATAATTTCACGATACTATTAACTTCTTTCACGCCTAAATCAAGATTGAAAAGTTTCATAAATTCGTGTTAAATATACGATACATAGAGATTAGAAATAGATATATTCAAGATTCATAGAGAATGTTCCTCCTCCTTTAAAAAAAGAGTCATCTAAACATTTTTGTTTCATGAAAGTACGCCTACAAGAAATGTGTAACTAGAGATAAAAATCCATTAAACTTGAGTAGCATAATGGGCATGTGTGAATTGATTTTTCCATCTGTCGATTTACTTAATCCAGATGTTTCAGCACACGCACTTTGATTTTTTACTCGAAGCACATGAAATATTCACAAGATGCGAAGTGTTTACATGTAAATTCGCACATAATTTTTTATGACTTTTTGAAATATGTATTAGTAAGTCTAAACAGGAAAGACTTTTGTTTTCTAGAAAAAAACCTTACTGTAAAATTTAAGAGATTGAAACCATAAGTTACTGGTTGTTTTACTTTTAAAAACTTATCTTGAAATTACAATACAATATACTAACAAGAAAATTGCAAATCAATTTGACTTAAAAAAATAAAATCCACTTTAATCGATTCCGGAATTTCAAGGTCAAGCACGTCCCCAATTATTAGAACAACTTCTTAGGGAAAATTACTCTAGGAATCTTGCATTTTGCATCAGTTCATCTCCTAAAATTTATTCTGTTTTACTTTTTCACATCGAAAAGTCTAGGACGCTTCGATTTTTAGTACTTTTACATTTCACAGTATTTTTAAGATAAGTGAATTTGTAAAGTAAGGAATAAAACTATAGGAACTATAAAACGACAAATAAATTGCATTTTCCCTAAATGCTAATTTTTCATTATTTGATTTACTTATTTATTCTAATCATAAAGTCGTTGTGAAGAACAAGATCAATTGAACGAAATCAGCTACATTAGCTTAAGTGAGTTATATTAACTTACACTTTCAACATTGAATAGTACATGGATGGATTAGGTTAAATAACTATGTTTAATGCCGCGCCCATCGAATGGTGATATATGTAAAGAAATGTTTTATATATAGCGGATCTAATAATAATCTTTATCGAAAATATCTTTTTCTCGATTTTTGCCTCCTCATCCATTTCTTAAAGTCGGAAATAAAACTACAGGATAGGATTTATATTTTCTTTTATTTTTCCATCGTTCACATTTTGTTATAATTTTGAAACCGAAAAGATTTATTCCCGAGAGCAGTATCGCTTTATGAACTAAGCTATAATATCGAATCAAATTTACATCAAACAGAAGGCTTTAACACATCAAACAGAAGGCTTTAACATAAGCTAGGGAAAATTCCAAACATCCCCCGGTGGTAGGGCTATTTTCTCAAAGGGGGGGCCAAACAATGTCAAGCCTAAAAAGAATCAGCATCCCCAAATTTCATCAGACACGAGATGATCCTACAGATGAAGCTGGATGAGTCTTCTTCGTCGAGAGCGCATCTCTCGTTCCTGCTGCCGCCGTCTCCGAGCGGCCCCTTTTCCTATTCGCTCGCGAGTACTTGTCTCTGTGGGGTTTGGAACCGATGACTGGCGTCTCTGAATGTGGGCACGGCGTCTTCTCGTGGCGGGGTTCGGAACTAACGACCAGCGTCTCTAAATGAGGACCCATCCACCTCAAGCTTTCCGTTAGTTGGGAAGAACTGGCATTAACTTCAGGGGTGTTAAAGAGGATTTGAAGTTTCAGATGCTTGACATTGTGCAATGGAGGAAGCATTACACTTCGGATTTCTTCTGGAAGAACCAATGCCTGTGAATATAAAAAATAGCACAATGTCAATGCTCAGTACACATTAGCATGCAAATACTCGATACAAAATACCTATTCAAAAGAATTACTTACCTCGACATTGTTACAGATTAGTGTCAGCGAGTCGCAACGGCCGAAATACCTCAGGAACTTGGCCGCCTTGAGATAGCTCCTCTTTGTGCGGACTCCGAAATCCACTTCCAGTCTTGCACTGGCCAATCTTGTCGAATCTCGTGGACCGATGATGGGAATATTGAGGCCGTCATATTGGAACGAAACTAGATTAGGAGTTTGGGTCTTCACTCTTCTCAGGGAGTCGAATCTAGTCAAGACAAGGTGCTTTAGATTCTTGTGAGTTATCCTGATGCGTTCGGCAGACAGCCTCCCCCTGAGCCTCAAAGTCTCTAGGAGACGAAGCCGAGAAACGGCTTCTCTGATCGTCCTGATTCCGACCACACACAAATCCAATGTAAGCTCCCTCAGGTTTTGAGCGCCATGTACTTGGAGAGTCGACAACTCCCCATCCGGTAAGCCTATGGTCAATGTCGACGTGAAGCTGAATGACATGAGGTTTGGGGCTGAAATCGAAAAGCTATTGACGCGATACATGCCCGACGCCTCAAAAGTCTCGAGCTTCGGTCCGCAGATGAGGAGGTCCCCGAAGTGGGAGTATTCAATCAGCTCCACGCGCCGGAGTGCGGGGCAACTGAGCATCAACTCGTTCAAGACGTCGCTGCTCTCGTCAACTCTGTGTAGTACCAGTTCTTCTAAGCGAGGCAGCCTCGTCTTGACGCCCTTCATGTAGAGATGGCTCACGTGGAGGACAGAGATGGTGTCGGAGACCAAGTCGGGGCATTTGTGATCGTACCATCTTCTGTTGGGATAGTCGACGATGCGGCCGAGCGTAAGGTCTCGGAGATTGAGCCTGGAGGCAATGTCTATCCACTTGGGCAACACGAGACTCAACTTGTCGCCCTTCGAGAAGACTAGCAAGCTCATCGAGTCGATGTTGAGGTCGTGCTCACGGCGCCGCGTGATGTAACCATCCACGTATTCCAGGAAAGTATCATTCTCGATGTCAGCGTCGTGCCCGCCAACGTCTTTGCGCCCGAAAGTTTCCTCGTCAAATTCTAGAGTCGGGAGAGTGTTGAAGGCGTGGTTCCAGTCCTTGGAGAGGATGCTGATTTGCGCTGCAACCCTCGGAGGTAAACATGACATGATCTTTTGAACTATCGGTTGAGGCAAGTAAAGGATGCCATGGACGGAGTCCGATGCATCGATGCGGCCTTCAGAACTCTCCGCCATCATCTGTCGATGTTGACTTCGTTGTTCTAAGCAAATCCTCCCGCAATACAAGAAAGAATGAGAACTGCTCGTTTAAAAAAAAACATGTCAGTTGAACCTATTGTTGTTAAACCATAATTATATAACTTTCTTTTGCTCTGCTACGAGGTTTCCTCATAGGATGATGATGATTCAAGTCCTGTAAATGCTGGACTTACGTGACAGCAAAACCTTACGCAGTGAAATCCTGAAGCGCAGCAAGAACAGGCTTAAAAGAAACACTAGCGACCTTAATGGAAAGAGCTCGCGAGACCTCGATCATTCACTAATAACAGTCGTTCAATCCCCTGGAAGAGCCGCTAAACTCATCGGAAGCCAATGAGTCACGGACAAATTTTATCGAGAATACAAAACCCGCATGCTCATTAAGAAAAACTCAACTGCAAAATACGCACTGACGCTGAAAAATTTCCGATAGCAGGATTAGTTAAGCTACTTCCGAAGACAAACTTTACATCAACAAGAAACCATTGATGGGTAAGCTCATTTACCTTCACCGGTTGCTTTTCCCTTTTTCTTGAATGGAACCCAGAATGCTCCACGAATTGATGAACAGTATCCTCGTCTGTGCACCAACGTTTGCGAGCTGACAACAACTCTTAACTCCTCGGCTCTTCAGAAGGCTCTCTTTTGTGTTAAACACGGGGAAGAGCGGGACTAAATGGTACTGAGCCAACCAGTAAGTTTCCTGAATTATCTCAGCCAATCCGAGCCCTGTCAGGATTAGGAAATACTGCGAAGATTTAGGAAATTTCTGAAAATTTTAAATTTTGGTCGGACGCTTGTGAACCAAGTTTGGTCAACGTCGGATGTTTCCTTTTCTGGTCTTCGGGTTTTTCTATCTGACGCGAGCGCCGTTGCCTGTGATCAAAACGCACGGCGTTTCGAGGTACCTAAGTTCGAGAAGATGTGTTATTAATGGGGAGTTCTGATTTGTATTCCAGTGACTTGGCGACCAAGCAATCAACCGCCACGATTAACTGATTTTCTTTCCTTTTCTATTCTATTGGTAAATTAAATCCTTAGTCGTTCGCTGTCTGTGTTATATCGTATGGACTCTTGTTGTCGGACTTTCTTGTTCGCTCGAAAATATAAATACGAATTTTCGCTATATATCTCTCCCGAAATTTTTTAACAAATTAGCCTTCTCATTGCCACATCGCCCTTTAAAGTTTGCCTAGTCATCATGTCATCTTAACTATAATGGAGGATTTTTACCTCTCTCTCCTGAGATTACCGAAACAGTTGTCGACAGACCTGACACTATGCACAACTTTTATTATCTTCAAGGTGAACTACTAGTTATATGCCTCCTTGTTAAGAAATTATTTTCTAAGACTTCACTATAACATTGTTTCATCAGTAAAACTGCTCTTAAATAATAATTTCACTCAAATGAAACATGAAGATAAAACTGACAATAAAAAACTAAGAAGATATATGTAGTTTTAAATATGGCATACCTAGTGCTTAGTTTAAATATAACTTACAGGAAAAGGTAGGTAACAATATTTCTAATCATTGCATTGCTTATATATACCTCTCATGGATTACAAGTTATGGATATTAATTACTCGCATACCAACTTAACTAAACATTAACATTTATGATTTTCATATTTGTTCCTCTGATCAGGAACGACTGGAAACATAGCCCAATCAATGTGGCGAGACCTGGAAAAATAAGAACTGAGAAACCCTTCGATATCTCATTCCACGGATGCAGTGTTCATGTTTCCAAACCACACATCAATCATTTTTTTTCCCCTGAGATCTCATTTATATAACTGCATTTATGGCTTGCACTGAAAGAGACATTAATGTGGATAGTATGATGAACAATGCCTTCTTATACAGATATAATGGCAGCTCTAACTGGCGAAGAAGGTAGAGTGGTTCGCTAGAGACTAGTGTGAGATGGTACCATGGCCAAAAATTCATCTGCTTCTGGGAATTACTTAAGACGATTCTCAATTCTCAAGTACAAGAAACCGGCCTGATCCGGCTAAGCCAAAATGATGGCCGTAGTTCATGGTTAAACCTTGACATCGCGGGGACATTCTCACTGGATCACGCATGTAGCCGAAAGGAAAACTTTACATATACTCGATGACCACTGAATTAAACGAGGACCCAAGTTGCTTCTCAAATCAACAAGCGATAGAAAGTTGCTTACAAGAAGAAAGGTGCATTAATCACATGTAAGCTACATTTTCAAACTCTTGCACCATACTTACAGATCAAGCACTTGACTTTTTGCAAGAAAAATGAGCAAAATTACAAATGACTAAGATAACAACTTTGTCAATCAGAGACATATAAATAACCAAACCCGAAAAGTATGTCGCTAGCCTGAACAGGAAAAAAAGCTCACTCGTGCACTAGTTTAAGTGCAGCAGCACAGTGAAACAGACCCGGTCAAGGAGGCAACAGAAGCACAATGAACAATAGAATGGATGCTCGGTGCAGGTTAGTCATTACTGTTGCCGATATATTCTCCTTTTCTGTTCCACGGTCGAGTTGCGAAAGACTTCCCGATCATGCTTCTCTTCTCATTTACTCTGCCTTCTTCACATCGATATTCTGGAAAGTAATCCAAAAATGTTTTGCTTCCTAGTGAATCGACTCCATCGAATAGGAAGCTCCGGACCACATTCTATGTTTCATGACAAGAGATAAGTAATTGCAACTCTGAAATGCAATAGAATGTAGATGTAGGAATAGCCGTAAATAGCATTTCTACCTTTGCATGTGTCTCCCCAATTAACCTTTTCAAAAGTTGATAACCCGGGTCCTGGACTCAAAAATCAAATGAGTTGTAGATCGAAAAGGAAAGTCAAAGAAACATAAGAGCAACAGCATTATGTTATATGCACCTAAAACACTTCCAGTAGCTAAAATCTTTGTGAGGCTCTCTTTAAATGCATATTGAAATGCAACTGACATTTTCAATGGATATGGCAGATCACAAAACTTTTTCAGGGGTCCAACTGTGCACATTTGATTTGTTCTGTTCGTTTAGTGCTCCCAAAGTGGCCATAACATCTTCTTATTCTTTGATTAGTGAGCAATACAACCACAGCAAGCTCAAGGCAGAGCAGGTTATGCTTTTGTCTTTAACATTTATATCCAGACATAGGCCATTTCAAGTTTTTAAATCTTTTCTCACGCCTTGAGCTAATTTCACAGTTCCTCCCGTTTTAATATGACTTTGCTTAATACTTTAGACAAACGGTAGTGGCACTGGTCTCTGCATGTGCATGTAAAAAATATAATTCGCAAGCAGACTGTAGATTGCAGGTGACGAAAAGCAAGATAAGATGAAGATATGGGAGGAGATGAGTGGCCAGGTGATCCACCTTTTGTGCTCTCCAAGTCAGATACCGATGCTGCGCTTCACGGTTGGCTATAATTCGAGATGCATCAGTCTCCCTTATTCCTAGGTCCATCAAAACATGCCAAGCCTGAGGACAAAATGAAAGGTCAGAGAGGAAATTAAATTGAGAAATATTATAGTCTGAAAGAAACAAAGCAATCCCATAAAGAGACAATTTATTGAGCAAGGTACCTTGAGATAATCCACGAATGCAGAGTATAAAACGTCGTGCATGTGTTGACTAGACTCAAACCTGGTCCATATGACTATCGGTGAAAAGAATCTCAACGATTCACCCGTTATTTTTCCACCCCATGGTAAAAGCTGCATAAAGTGGTGTTCCCACTGAAGCCTCTAGAAACGGACAGGAAAAGACTATAAACTGTTCAAATGTTACTATAAAACACAACGAACAGCTGACCTCAGCATACTTGAGACCTAAAGGCATCAGGCCTTCATAGTACTTATCTTTGTATTCTTCGTGCTTGATGACGTCATATAGAGGGTTAAGGTCCCTGCAAATGACATATCGGGGCAGATCAGGGAGCCTTATGTACAGAAAACAAAGTTCATATAGGATTGAAGGGGAGACAGGCAGCATTTAGCATCTGCTGACCCCGATGTGCCAATAATTCTCCACACTAACCAAGCAGGATATCATATATTATTTTTCGTATATATTCAACCATTTATAAAAGAACTTAAAACGAATCACTCCTGTTTTGAGAAATATAACATTGCTGAGGTACTTATTGCACGTCCTAACAACAAACTATACACTCCAACAAGATGCTAACTGCTCATTAAGGAGCATTACATATCTCAAGTGGAAGAAAAAGTTCACTGTTGCACATCTAGATTGACAAACACAGTCCAGTATGCCACACCATGCCAATAGATACCAGATAGTTAGATGTCAAATACGTGACTGTTAAAAGCTTCTGCAAAAGTTAGCTCGTGACACTCAAGCAGGAGAGCTACACCGCAACCCATTTCAACTGCCCAACATTTTGTTTAACCAGAAAAGTGCTAGCAGGTTTAAAAGCCAAATGGCATTTAATTTCGGCAGAAAAGCATGCATGGCCACTAATAGGTGAAAAGAAGCATCCTTATACATCTCTTTCTACACATGGATATCACGCACATGCACATGCACATGCAAATTTGATCGAGACATAAAGTTGACCATAGAGCACATGCAAAGTTGCTCAGCACATATAGTTGACCAAAGAGCAAGCAACTGCTGTCATTTTCATCAAATCGTGTTGTTTCTCACGACAAGAAGTAAAAAACAAGAAGAAAGAACTGTTCTTACAGAACAACTATGTTTGTCTCGGCAGCAGTGAAAAAGTTGGCACAGAATATAGGCAGATCATATTCTGGTTCTGGAAACATAGCAAAATCCAAAACCTGCACAGAATATCTTCAGAAGAACAAAATGAGGCAGCTAAACATCATAGCTAATAATGTGTTCAAATAAACCTACTTGAACAACCAATTCATCCTTCAGTACAAGTGGTAAATCTAATTAGAGGACAAGCTTTACACAGAAAGTTTCCATTCGCGAAAAGTCAGAGAATCAACTAATTGCCAAAACTATCAAAATCATGCATCCATAAGGCGCCAACATACCTATAGTTTCAATAGCAAAGGAAGTGAAGCCATAATATCTCAATTAAGCAAAACCGGCCTCATACTCAAGGAAATTTCCTCTGACCATCGTGTTTGACTTATGGGGGCTCTTTTGGAGCTAAAGACCGAAACTACCAGCTACGTTGCTTAAACCCATAAATTTGAAGCTGTCAGTCTAGATTCCTGATTCCTTACAATTAATTGCTTTTGCTGTAACTTGTGTTTGGAGAAGCTTATAGAAACTAAATATCAAGCGGCAAAGATATTAGACAATGATACCCGCAGTCCCTTGCTCCCTTGAATGCGCAAACTCCGAAGCAACCTAATTTTTGGCGCTTTATACGATAACAACTCGATCTCTGTTTCGTCATCCAATGGCTTCATGGAGCTGAACCTTTCCTAAGGACACAAACAAGGACAAGCCTTCATTCACCAAACAGACGGCAAATAGAGCAGACAACCAGAGAGCAACCAAAAACCCGGCAATAAACATTCACAGTCACAACTCTCTCTCTCTCTCTCTCACGCACGCACGCACGCACGCACATGTTGAGCAACATTGTCAGAACTTGAAACAGTGGATAGATGACGAAACAGTGGAACTGATGATAACTCGGAGCTAGCAACGACTGCGTCTGGAGTGCCGACACGAGAAGGTCCAGAATCCAACGCGCGGGCAGGAGGATCGAACTCAAGTTCCCCAGCACGGAGCCGCGAGACCAATTCGAACACCGATTTAAGCACGAAGCCGAGTCGAGACCAATCGTAACCAGCAAAAAGGAAGGCGAAAAGCCGAAAACGATGCGCACCTGCGTAGGAGAAGGGGTCAAGTCCGCGTGGAGCGCCGTCTCGTCGAGACCGAATTGGACGAACTTCCGGTACGAGAGAGCAGAGACGCGAACGGACGGCCTCCCCATCCGCCGAGTGAAGACGCTGCCATTGGCGGCGGCGGCGGCTCCTCCGAGCTTGGTGGATGAGGAGCGGCGGAGGAGAGTGAAGGAGAAGGCGGTGGAGGAAGCGGACTCCATCCGAAGCTAGTGAGCCGTGGACACCATTAGCGGAGTCGTGGTCGGAATCGGACTCTCTCTCCCTCTCTCTCTGTTTTTTTGGTTCTTTTTTTTTTTTTAATCCTAAGGAAATGCTTCCATTCCCTTTCAAGTAGGGGGTCAACTGGTCAATGCTCTGACAGAGGGGGAGATATCTTTTCCCTTCTTTAGCGATAATAATTAATTTTATTAACTGATTATTACAGCTTGAGTTAGAGAGAGAGAGCGCGCACGTGCGAGGAGACAGGACAGTGCCTGAAGAGGGAAGGAGGCGGTCCTGTCAGAGAAACCGAAGCCATGCTTCCACAAGTGTGATGCTTAAGGAGATGCTTTGACGCGAGCATACACGCACGTGTGTGGCGCAATCGAGCATGGTGAGCTTAGGAGAAGGAACATTATAATCGAGTTTTAAAATTTAAAAAAAGTACAATCAGTAGAAGAATTTGTTTAAGTTAATTTGATAAATTTTATGACTTAATAGCACTTTTTGAAAGTCTTAAGACTCAATTGCACTTTCGTGATAAGTTTTAGGACTCAATTGCACTTTTTGAAAGCTTCTTGATAAGTACAAGGCCCGGGAATGGGCTGCTTTATCCTTATAAATGCTTATCTTATTCACGTGAACGTGGGGAAAATTAAAGACAACCTGAGGAAAACAAAAAAGAAATAAAAAAAAGCGTCAAAAGGTTGTGCTTCGCTTTACCTGCGGACCAAGGTCTCCGTGTTTTTGCTTTTACACCAACCCCTTTTTCACACGGTTCGTATTTCTACTCCACCCCTTCAACGATCCAAAAAATTCAATCTTTTATCCACTACTTTTGTTTCAATTTGAATTTCCCCTTCGTGTTTTCTGCTACGATCGCTAAGTACGCATTCCTACTTTGGCATTTCCATAAGTAGGTTTAAGTGAATTTATTACGGTAATTCGAGCATTGGTGAGAAGACTAGGATTAGTGCTAGCAATTGGCATCGTGTTATGTAGAAATAGGGGTATAACATGATTATGTTTGACCTTATTACGATACTTGACAAAGATATCGAATTGCCTCGACACAAACATGGCATGCCTAATGAAGCGAGTCACACGTCATGACACGACTAACACAATTATAAAAAAAAATATTATCGTGTCGGGTATACTAAAACTAATGAGCAGATACTAAATTTAGGTTTGATTTGGTCTATGACTCTAAATCTCAAACCAACCAAACTAAACTAATTGGGAAAAGGACATCATATGTGTCATAACTTTCATATAGCGCTCACTTTAGTATGATAACTTTTTCTAATCACTTGAGTGTCATAACTTATATACAGCGTTCACTCGAGTGCCATAACTTTTTTAATCACTTGAGTGACATATAACTTGAGTATCACAACTTTTTAAAAAGGTTCACCACAAGTGCCGTGTAAAGTCAGATTTCCGATAACTGGGTGAACGTTTTTGAAAAATTATGGCACTCGAGTAATTAATTTAGAGTTATGGCACTCAAATAAACATGATTTAAAAGTCATGGCACTCAAATGAGTGTCGTACGAAAGTTGTGATATTTGTGATGTATTTATCTCAAACTAATTTGGTTTGCATCGAATTTTGAAAACTTTTTTCCAAATCGGGAGACATAATGTCTTGTTGACGTGCGAGGAGTTGTATATAACCATTCCAATGTAAAAACCTTAAAATTTACTGCTCAGTTTCGATTACGATTTATTTTTCCAGATGTTTCTGCCCTTCACCTCAACAACGCAAGACATGTCCGTCATGGATTGAAAATCACTAAAAGCGTGAAAGTTGGATATTTTGTACAGGAGTTACGAAAAATTGAAAGGAGTTCGATCCGTCACATTCGAAACTTCGTTTCTCGAGGGATCGTAGAATCATCCGCACTTCGTTCCCCGGATTCTGATGCTCTCGCGGCGAAGATTATGAGCTCCTGGTGACTTCGCTTCCCAAATCGGTTGCGGAGCCGTGGCTCTATGGAGCTGTGTGTCACGGATTGCTCTGCTTTGAGGACCTCTGCGGCGCCACCTTTCTCTTCAACCCTCTGACCCGAGAAGCCGTCTTGCTGCCGAGCGACCTGTTGCACGAACGGGCTTACCTGGACAGTATCGGAATCGGGGTGGACCGCCTGACCAGCCTGTACAAGATCCTGCGCGTGAGCTATTCTCTCGGTAAAGACCTCTCAGTCCACCCGATTATTAGGGCAGAGGTCCTCGATCAGGGCTCGTGGTCATGGAGGGACACAGTGAGCGCCCCTCCCGACCTCCCCGTCGGAGCCCCCGTGTACGCTGCCGGATCGATCCACTGGAGTGTCGCCGGCGGCGGAGGCCACATTGTCGGGACCTTGTCATTCGACCTCGCAAAGGAGGAGTTTGGGCCTACTCCGTTCCCGGAGCTTCGAGGCACCCGCCTGGTCCGCCTGGTGGACCACCGGGGAGCTCTGGGGCTCATCGACCCCTCGCTTCAGGAGAGCGTGGATATGTGGGTGATGGAGGAGAGCGGGCTGTGGGTGAGGAAGCACAGGATCCCGCTGACGTTGCTGGGATGCGTGTCTAGTCACCAGTTCGGCGAGTTTCTGGGCTGTGGTGGCCGGAAGATGGTGCTCAAGCACCGGAGCGGCCTCTTGAGCTATGATCCGGCGACTGACGAGCTGGAGTACGTGCAGAGGGGCCGCGAGTTGCCGGCCAGAGTTGTAGGCAGCATCACCGTGAGTTTGCTTTCGCCGGCGAAGTTGTGGAATGCGGACAAGGTCCTGTTTTTTTAGTGGGGTTGCGTAAATATGCCCCGATTTAGTTTTGGCACATCGTATTCGGAAAAGAGACATCACCAAGGGGCACCGATTGACGGATTGGAGAGGTACTAAAAGCGTACGAGAATTCTTTAATCTTTTGTTTGGTCGAAAGATGAATAACTACTTTTTTCTTATCAATTGCAATTGTTTATTGTCGACTCTTGTCTTAGTTAGAAGAAGATTAGTTGATGAATTTTGTTCACGAGATTGCATATATTATCCGTTTTTCGAATCGAATTGGCATTGCCGGTTTTCTCTTCTTCTTCTTCTTTTTTTTTTGTGAAAAAATGTACTAATAACAATAGATTAGATATAACAATCCGTACATAAATATTTACAAGTGATCTTAGGTCAAAACAGAGAATCTCAACCAAATCTCGATGGTTCTCTCAACAAAATCGACACCGGAATTTACTGTTGCAATAATATTTTAAAAGTAATTGATAAGTGCGTGAGAATGAGAAATAGACGTGTTAGAGAGATAATAAGGGGTTTCTCTTAAATATTCTAGCAAAAAAAGAAAAAAAAAAGAAAAAGGGATTTCTCTTAAACAATATCTTATTGTAAAGATATTTGATAATTCTGTTGATTCTTTGAGTATCTCTCAAGATTACGCCTATATCTTGATTAATATATTATCTTAGACAGTCATCTAATAAAAATAGGCTCTTGTATTCTTCTTCAACATATATCGAATATACAAATCTTTCCCGATCCTCCCTTTCACATCTCTTATTCCTAGAATTAAATCAACCGGAAAGAAAAAGAAGAGGGGATAGATAGCTCTTAAACTTAGGATTGCACTTTCATCGATAGACACCACAGCTGGTTTTTCGGCCGAACTTTGGGCACACGGAGGTGGCTTAGCTCTAGTCTATTCTCTTTGGAATATAAGATGTCATCCAAATAGGACTAGACGCAAAAGCAATCGCCACAATATATGAGTTCGCCCAAAAATGTAATACAATGTCGTTAGCGTCGTTAGCATCGTTAGCATCGGCTGCTCCATCTACCTCACACCTTACAAAAATAACGCGACCAAAGGTGTACGTTACGTAGCCAAATCAGGGCGCGATTCCGCAAGGAACCTCGCCATCCATGAAACTCGCGATCCTACTGCATTGGGTTCATATAGGATAATGCATTTTGCCAGAAGGGCAAGGTTGCGGAAAGGTCCGCAATTTCTGACGATTTCGAACTTGTTTTTGTTACGATAGCATGAAGAGCAGAATATAGAAGTCAAAGCATATAAATGGTCAAAAATGAAAAAAAAAATCATAATCTTCCATACACAAAATAAGGAAACAAACAAAGACGTCTGATAAGTGATAAGTGATATGGCAGCGCCGATAACGTGACTTATCAAAAAGATTTTTTCCTCTTTTCTCATTTTAGATGGAAATTAATTACAAATATGGCATTTGTAGATAAATCCTACAGTTGAGAACATAAGAAATCTCAGAGTTAGGGATAATATCACGAAAAATCCCAAACTGATACACCTGTGACAAATTTACCAAAAATTAATTTTTTAATAGCCAAAATCCCAAACCGGTACATTTGCGACAAATTCGCCTCCCGTTAGTTTCCGTTAAATTGGATTAATACAATGAAAAATCATAAATTGGTACACCCGTGACAAACGAAGGGTAAAACCCAAACTGGTACATTTGGTCACTACCACGTGTCATCAAACCCAGTAATCTGATGATAAGATTTAACGGAAACTAATGAAGGGTAAATTTGTCATAGATGTACAAGTTTTGGCTTTTTTGTAATGAAAAAAATAATTTGGAGTAAATTTATCATGAATATACTGATTTGGGTTTTTTGTTGTATCAACGCATATATTTAAGAAATGAAAGATTCGTGATTATGTAAACAAACCAGAACACAATTTTCTTCAATGCTCTCGCCAATGTCGACCTGTAACTCCTCTCGGCGTAAAACGTCGACGATGAGTTCACTCCCTCTCGACCTCCACCACAACGTCCTCTCTCGCCTACCCGCCATATCGCTTCTCAAGTTGAGGTCTGTCTGCAGAAAATGGCGCGACATGATCGACGATCTGCACTTCGCCGCCATGCACGCCACCAGCAGCGTCGAAAGTCCCCGGATTCTGCTGCTTCCGGACCCGAGACACGACGCGGATTCCCAATTCGCGGTAAACGATGAGTTCCTGGTGACGTCGCTCTCCAGATTGGCCGAGAGGACGTTGCTCCACGTGACTGGAGCTTCATGTCACGGCTTGGTCTGCGTTCAGGACTTCCGCAACGGCGCTACCCATCTCTTCAACCCTCTGACCCGAGAAATCGCCTCGTTGTCGAGTGTTGACCCGTCGCGCGAGCCGCGGGGCTGTTGTGTGATCGGAATTGGGGTTGACCACCTGACCAGCCGGTACAAGATCGTGCGCATGAGATACTTTATCGACCGATTTAGGGCAGAGGTCCTCGATCAGGGCTCGCGGTCATGGAGGGACATAGCGAGCGCCCCTCCCGCCCTCATGTTCATACGCCCCGTGTTCGCCGCCGGATCGATCCACTGGAAAACCACCCCCAGAGGCGTGGTCAGGATCTCTTCCTTCGACGTCGCAAAGGAGGAGTTCGCATGGACTCCGTGCCCGGAGCTTCAAAACGCCCACCTGGTGGATCTCCGGGGAGCTCTGGGGCTCGTCCACTGCTCGCACGGGGAGAGTGTGGACGTGTGGGTGATGAAGGAGAGTGGGCGGTCGATGAAGGAGTACAGCGTCCGGGTGAGCCAGCCGTTGCCGCCGACCAATCACTTCTTCTTTAAAGTTCTGAGCTGTCGTGGCCGGAAGATCGCGCTCAGCTTCTACGGGAGATGCTGGTTATACGATGCTGCAACTGACGAGCTGAAGGATGTGCGGAGACCCGGCGCGGCGCCGGCCATTCTTGTGGGCAGCATCACCGTGAGTTTGCTTTCGCCGGCGAAGTTGTGGAATAGTGGGGTTGCGGAAATAAAAGAGACATGATCATGTGGCGGTGAGGTACTAAGCGCACGAGCATGTTTTTTATTTTTTTATTTGGTAGAAAGAAGAATAATCACTCTGTTTTTTTTATTAGCTGCAATATTATTATATCCTCGAGGTTGATGAATTTGTCCATGAGATTGCATATATTATTATTGTTCGTTTTTTAATTTTTCACATTCTACCCCATTTCGAGTCAAATTGGCTTTGCCCACGTTGGAAAATCGAGGTTTTTCTTTTCCGTGAAAAAGCGTACTAAGTCAATAAATTTGGTATTAGCTTGAGCCCAGGAAAATTATCCAAAAAGTCATAAACTTATTATACTTTTGCCAATTCAATCCTAAATCTTTCAACTTTGTCAATTGAGTCCATCTGGCTAATTTTGATCGGAAATCGCTGATGTGGATGTTAGACGGTCACGTGGTGCTGATGTGGATATTTTAAAATAATATTTAATAATTTATGCTTTTTTTCTTTTTTTCCTTTTCTCTCTTTTTTTTTTCTAGTTCTGAAATTAGGGCTGGCGAGGGTGGTTGAGTCGTGGCCCTCGCCCAGATTTAGCGAGGGTGTCGCGACCCTCGCCGAAACTGGGCGAGGGCTGCAATGCCCTCACCTAGAGCCGGTGAGGGTCGGCCGGCCGGCCACCCTCGTCGGCCCTAATTTCAGAACCAGAAAAAAACATTAAAAAAATCATAAAATTATTAAAATATTATTTTAAAATGTCAATGTTAGTGCCACGTGGCCGTCCGGCGTCCACGTTAGCAATTTCTGGCCAAAATTGGCTGGATGGACTCAATTGGCAAGAAATGAAAAGATTTAGGACTCAATTGGCAAAATTGAAAGGTTTAGGACTAAATTGGTAAAAGTGCAATAGGTTTATGATTTTTTGGATAATTTTCCCGCTTGAGCCCAAATTTATTGAGGGGGTCCAAATGACAATTTTATAGCTTGCCGAGTGAGCGTAGAATCAAACTCTGATGTGTCCAATTCACATATATGTAATGTTGCTTTCGCGATCTCGGGGGAAAAGTGCCATAAAAGTCTTAAACCTTTTGTATTAGTGCCAATTTAGTCCTAAACCTTTTTTAGGTGCCAATTCAGTCCTAAACCTTTTGCATTTGTGTCAATTTAGTCCTAAACCTTTTTTTGGTACCAATTCAGTCCTAAACCTTTTAAATTGGTTCCAATTCAGTCCTAAACCTTTTGTTTTTGTGCTAATTTAGTCCTTCCGGCCAATTTTGACCGGAATTTGCCGACGTGGATGCTTGCCGGCCAACGACCGGTCACCGGCGCCGACGTGGCACTGACGTGGACAAATTAAATAATATTTTATTGAATTTTTATTTTTTTCCTTTTTTTTCTTTTTTTTTTGGGTTTCTCCTTCCTCTGGCAGGTCGCCGGTCCGGCGACCGGCCAGAGGCCAGAGGCTGGCGAGCTCGACCTCGCCAAATCCGGCGAGGTTGGGCCTCGCCCAGCCGCCGGCGAGGCCGCCCTCCCCAGTGGCCGGCGAGGTTGAGCTCGAGCTCGCCGGCCAGAGGAAGGAGAAACCCAAAAAAAAAAGTGGAAAAAAAAAGAAAAAAAGGAAAAAAATAAAAATTCAAAAAAATATTAAAATATTATTTAATTTGTCCACGTCGGCGCCCGTGACCGGTCGCCTGCCGGCAGGCGTCCACGTCGGCAAATTCCGGTCAAAATTGGCCGGAAGGACTAAATTGGCACAAAAACAAAAGGTTTAGGACTGAATTGGCACCAATTTAAAAGGTTTAGGACTGAATTGGCACCAATTTAAAAGGTTTAGGACTGAATTGGCACCAAAAAAAGGTTTAGGACTAAATTGGCATCAATGTAAAAGGTTTAGGACTGAATTGGCACAAAAAAAAGGTTTAGGACTAAATTGGCACTAATGCAAAAGGTTTATGACTTTTATGGCACTTTTCCCCGATCTCGGTATAAAACAAACACTAATTTTCTTTTTGTTGTATGTGTAATATCTCCGCCAAATCTTGATGGTTGTTTTGACCAAATCGACACTAGACATCTAAATTAGCGATGAGTTCTCTAAAGTAATTGATAACAGATTAAAAGGAGAAATATATCGACAAAACCAACAAACATTGCTCTTATAATTCGAATTGCACTTTCATCGGACTCCTCCTTAATAAGGCTTCCGTAGATGGATGGATGGACAGACGCCATAACTAGTATTGCGGATGAGTTTTGGGCACATAGAGATGGCTTAGCTATAGTCAAATCTCTTGGAATTTAAAATCTCCAAACTAGAAAATTAAAGGAAGAGTTTATCGGCTGCTGTATCCATCACCATCCATGGAAGTCATTATCCTAACTTGCAAGCCGACCTACAAGCTGATTGCTCATGCTATTAGCCGATCTTGAATTTGTGATACAAATTTTGTGGAGCAATTACTGAAAAAGTCGAAAACCAATTATGCAGATGCCAATTCAGTTTTTAAACTTTTTAATTTAGCCAATTTAGTCATAAGTCTTTTGGCAATTTGCCAATTGAGTTTGGCGCTAACATGGACAATTTTTACAATTTTTTTAAATTGTATTTTTTGAATTTTATTCTCTTTTTTTTTTTTTTCATTTTGGTCTGTGAGGGTTGCCGACAAGGCCCCGGGAGAGGCAGCCCTCGCCTATATCTTGACGAGGCCTTCACGCCCTCGCCAACCTCAATGAATAAACAAAGAAAATAAAAAATTATATAAAAGCTCAATTTTTGAAAAAAATTGCAAAAATTGTCTATGTCAGCGTCGGTCATGCCACGTAAGACATACTACATAGGATAGCCGGCGTCCAAATCAGTGATTTCCAGCCAAAATTGGCTGGAATGATTTGGTAAATTGTCAAAAGGTTTAGAGATTAAATTTGCCAAATTAAAAAGTTTAAGATTGAATTTTGGTAACTTCCCCCAACTTTTGTTTTTTTTTATCTACTATTCAATATATTTAAGTTCAAACATGGAAAAGTAGTTAAAGAAAAACATCTCAAATATTTTTTTCAATGATATAGCTAATTTTGAAAATATTTTGGTAGTAAATTTATGGAAAACCGTTTAATTAAGAATATATGCCCCGTTGGATGTGTTTCATCTTTTCAAAATACGACTTATGTCGTTAGAAATTTCACTATTAAAAAGAAATCTGAGGTTGATTTTGGTTACTCGTTAGTATTCATAATGTGCGGTATAGCTTATTTTATTGCACAAAAAGATTACTCGATTTCAATATATTATAAATGAATTACTGATAAAAAAAATTCACTAATATATATTTTTAAAAATTAAATTCAAACGGTAGCATACAAACTATCATTAATGTCAGAAAATCTAATCCAAAAAGTTTAAACTTTTTTAACATCTCGTCCCACTCACGTGCAAGAATGTTTAACAAGTGCCATAGAAACTGACCCCTAATCGTCAAAAAAGGATTTCTTTCCCCTTTTATATATGTTTTTCAGATGGAAATTGAATTATATAAGTGCTCGTGGATACTACCAACGGCTGAGAACATAGAAATCTCCGAATCGGTGCACTTCTTTCGCAATAACATCATATAAACAAAACCAGAATAGTGTCTTCTTCTTCGAAGCTCTCATTGTCAATGTCGAGCTATCATGCGAGCTCGCTGCCTCTCGACCTCCTTCGCAACGTCCTCTCTCGCCTACCCACCATATCGCTCCTCAAGCTCAGGTCCGTCTGCAGGGAATGGCGGGACGTCATCGACGATCCGCACTTCGCCGCCACGCACGCCACCTGCGACTTCGAGAGTCCCCGGATTCTGCCGCTCCCGGGGCCGAGCCGCAGCGCGGAGCGCTGGTTCGAGGTGGACGATGAGTTCCTGGTGACTTCGCTCCCGAAGTCGGCCGCCAGGTCGTGGCTCTAGGGAGCCAGAGCTTCCTGTAACGGGTTGCTCTGCTTCGACGACCTCTGCGATGGCACAATCTATCTCCTTAATCCTCTGACGGGAGAGATCGTCTCGCTGCCGAGCTGCATCGACCCGTCTCGCGAACGGAGGCACCCGCACAGGATTGGAATCGGGGTTGACCGCCTGTCTGGCCGGTACAAAATCGTCCGCCTGAGCTGCTCTGTGGACCGCACAGTCCGCCCGACTAGAGCACGGGTCCTCGATCAGGGCTCGCGGTCATGGAGGGACATAGCGAGCGTCCCTCCTGGCCTCCTCCTCGGTGGCCCCGTGTTCGCTGCCGGATCGATCCACTGGGAAGCTGCCGGAGAAGGCGGCCTCATCAGGATCTCGTCATTCGACATCGCGAAGGAGGAGTTTGCGTGGACTCCCCGCCCCGAGCTTCGAGACGCCCACCTGGTGGACCTCCGGGGAGCTCTGGGGCTCGTCGACCGCTCCCGCCAGGAGAGAGTGGATGTGTGGGCGATGGAGGAGGGCCGGCAGTGGGTGAAGCGGTACAGCGTCCGGCTGAACTCGCCGTGGCCCGTGGACAGTCACTGGTTCCTTACCGTTCTGGGCTGCGGTGGCCGGAAGATTGTGCTCAAGTACTTGGAGAACCTGCTGCTCTATGATCCGGCGGCTGACAAGCTGGAGTGTGTACAGAGATCCGGCGACGCACCGGCCGGACAGGCTAGCAGCATCACCGTGAGTTTGCTTTCCCCGGCGAAGTTGTGGAACGCGGACAAAGTCCTGCCTTGAGTTGCGTAAATATTTTCGTATATTATTTCATTCGTTTTGGTTTTCCACGCTCTACACACCCGTTTTGAACCGAATTGGCTTTACCTTCGTTGGTACTTCCTTGATTATTTGTCAAAGGGCGCTAATTACAGATTGTGTTCGTGATCTCGGGACAAAACTGACAATCCTTTACCCTTTGTTGTAAAGGTGAGTATGGTTCGAATGAGTGATTTCCACCATAAAACTGAGATCCGTCCACTGAGGACCGGTGCCGCAAAATTGTAACCGGGAACCACCTGTTGATTCCATAGATCCACTCGGAACCGGACCGCATTCACCAAGCTTCACGCACATAGATGTGATTGAAAGCGAGAGAGGGAGGCGATGAGCGGCCGTGAGTTGATAGGAGTTGAGAATCACAACGATGGGCGTTGAGCTTGAGACTCGAGATCATAAGTGAGAGATAAAGAGATGACTTAGACAAAGTGAGAGTGAGACGAGCACTTAGTTGATGGGCGTTGAGCTTTAGATTACGATTTTGGGATTTTAATTTTTCTTAAGATGTTTTCTTTTTTTTTTTGGTTGGAAATTTTTAATTAAATTCCCATGTTTTTCTCTCCCATTGAACTTTTCATCTTTTAACTTAACAAAAAATTCACAAATTTGATTTTACACCCATACAATTTAAAACTTTAGCTTTCCCATTATTTTACTTTCTTTTTAGAATTTAACTTTCGAATTTCATCTTCAATTAGTTACTTTTAGTTCCACACATTATTAACTTTCTCTATTACGTGAATGATCCGAATCGCTTCTTCTTTTTTCTTTTTAACATGTACATCTAGGCAATAAATGGAATGAAATGCGTTAATCAATATAAGGTCAGTCCGTTGTCCATCGTCGTCATTCGTGTATGAAAGATCATTTATGATCTATGTGATTACATGAATATGATCACTCTCCAATCTATAGAAGCGATTCATGTTCCGCGAGTAAGGTTTATTGATTATACATGGAAAAGAAAATGTAACGTGTAAGACCCAAAAATGATCGCCAACTGGCCTAGCACACGGCCGAAAACTAATGATTGAAGGAAAAATTCAAGAGTTAAAGTGGGTGGGACTCATATTTTAACTAATATTTAATGGATCGGGTGATATATGAATTGTCTAAAATTTAAAATATAGATGGGAAAGGATCTAATAAAGCAAAGTCCAATTCATTCGTCATAAGTTCCAATGGATTTGGCCCTTGTGCTTCTGCACGAGTGGCTTCTTCCTTTGGGCTTTTACATAAACTCTATTTAGGACCCGTTTGGCAACTTGCTAAATAGTAAAAATTTTTATTCTTTTGTTCCCAGAATCAGTTTGGGAGCAGAAATCCGTTTGTTAAATTTTTGTGTCCGGGTACAATTTTGCAAAAAATTGTTCATAGAATCAGTTTTGGAACAGAATCAAGAAGCAAAAAAAAGTAGTTTCTTGATTCTGGAACAATTTTTCCATTTCTCATTCTTCTTGATTTTCTTATTTTTTTTGGTTTGTTGTTGTTCTTCGGCCTGCCACCTGCCGGCCGCCGGCCATTGACCACAGGCCAGGGCCGGCGAGAGCGTCGCGGCCCACATCGGTGGCCTGCAAGGGCTGCTTGCGGCAGCAACGACGAGGCCGGCCTCGCCTTGGCTGGGCGAGGCTCGACCTCGCGCAAATCTGGGGAGGCCGACCTCGCTGTTCCCTGCCTAGCCAAGGCGAGGCCGACCTCGCCATAGTGACCAGCAAGGGCGGTGGCGAGGGCCGCGACGCCCTCACTAGCCCTGGCCTGTGGCCGGTTGCCGGCGCCGGTGACCGGCCATGGCCAAGGAAGGGAAGGGAAATAAAGAAAAAAAAGAAAAAAATGGAAAAAAAATAAAAGAAAGAAAGAAATATTATTCAAAATATTATTAATAAAATGAAATTTTGTATAGTTACCAAATGCATTTCTGTTCTTATTCTATTCTAAGAATATAAATTTTGGGCAGTTACCAAACGTCTTCAAATGCTTAGAAATTATTTTCGGGCACCGAATAAAAAAGAATCATTTCTGAGCAGAATCTGTTCCCGGGTACAGAATGGTTGCCATGCGCAGCCTTACAGTCAAAACAAAATTTAAGAGTTTTGACAAGTTTCACGCCATTAAAAGATGAAAAGGAGTGAAAAAGGTCCCTTCATTTTATGTTTTTAGATGGGGAAATTGTTCAAAAAATTGCAAACTTATTGTATGATGATTAATTCAATCCTAAAGCTCAATTATGTCAATTTAGTCTTAAAATTTTTGACAATTTGCCAATTTAGTCATAAACCTTGCAATCGTGCCGATTCATTCATTGTTGATGTGGATGCCAGCCGTCCTACGTGGCACGGTCGGCCGCCACGTAGACAATTTTTTACATTCTTTTTAATTTGTCCGATTTTTTTTTATAAATTTTGTGAAATTTTTTTAAATTTTTTTGAGTCAACCTTGCCGGCCATCACCGAGGCATAGTGATTGATCATGCTATATTTTTATAAATTTTGTGAATTTGTTATATGATTCCGGGCCACGAGCTGAGGGGAGTATTTTTTTTGCAAATCTTTTTGTCATGCTATTTTTAGATTTAACCCAAATTCTATTTCAACCTTTAACAAAGCCAAAGTTTGGTTTTTAAGCCAATATAAATGGGCTCCAAAATCTTAACTTTTAATAATCGATGCTAAAGTACCGATTACTAAACTTTAGGATAAGGGATGTGGTTCTACTAGCGCAAAAAAGATATGTTTGTCGTATCTTTATCGACCCAATTGGCGAAAAGTCCGAACAAAACTAGTTACATCCGAATATACTTGTGATTTAAAGATTCTAATTCATGTGGATTCTCAATTTTATCCACTTCAATTTTTCCTTAGTTAAAATGATTTTCTTCAGTGAAATAATTTCATATTACAATCAGGTGAAATCCAAAGTAGAAAAATAAAATATATAAGGCATAAAGAAATTAGCTATCGAATTAGCTACGTTTGTTCGACTTCTTTTGTTTTCATTTATTCATTTCATTTTTCAATTCTTATTTAAACGTGAAGAGAAATTAGAAAAAAAGCCATTGATATCGCTCTTGCGAGAGATTGGAGAAGAGGAGCGCTTGAATTTGACACCATGTATCTCGGCTTCCGTTTTGTACCTCAATTTGATGGAGAAGGTGAAAGGAATGCCGATACTGCCCGATCTTATTTTCGAGCACGATATCTACGAAGAGAAGGAGCCATGGAAGATGTTCGATCCGGCTTGCGACAAAATTATCTCAAGTTTTCAGGACACGGAACAAGATCAAATAGAGGGTTCAGAGGACCGCCGGTCAGAGACTTGGAAAGGCCAAAATAGGGCGGAAATCAAGAATGCACAAGGCGACCCAATTGGTTCAAGATGACTCTTTTCGTTCGAAATGAAGAGTCCTTCGAGGAAGAAGGATGGTAAAGCTACCAATCATATTTGGATCATATACACATTACATCCCAGAGATGTAAGTTCATTTTTCTCTTCCTCTTGTTAACGGTGGTAACAATTGTGTGATTAATACTTAATCTCAATTCCTAGGCTGATAGACCCGCCGTAGACCCATCTTAATCTATATTTGATAGGTTGAGTTGTTCTATAAGTTAGGTATACCCAGTAAATGGGTCATAAATGGGTTTGATATATGTATTAAATAGGTTCACGACTTATTTAAACCTAACCCATCTCTATAACTCTCTCTTTATTCTCTCTCACTCTCATTCGATCTCACGCTTTCATCTCATTTTGGGTAACGATATGAGTGGTGTATGTGTTGTGTGGATCACTAGATTTGTATTACATAAAAATGAGTCAAAACGGGTTAAATAAGTCAATTTCGAATGGGCAATTTTCAAATCGACCCGACCGACCCGTTTGACAAATTTATGGGCCATAGTCATATATAATTGTAGTCAATTGTTATGCCCTAATTTGTAATGAATTTCTTTTCTCTTCTGGGTTTTGCCGAGGATACAAGGAAAAAAGTAGCGTTTTCTGTACTCGTGAAAATTTTTTGAGGTCACGTGCGAACTTCTGCACGAAACAAACGACCTCGGAAAAACTCCGTAGGTTTTCAGACCACGTGCGTTCTCGTACTCGTAGTCCCACTTGCATGAGGAAGCTCAAGGGCAAAATCGACTTGGACTGCATTCATTCTTCGTCGCTGATGAAGTGACCAATTCTTCCCGATTGCCATTGGAATCCAGAGCTTCCAACCCAACGCAGAAACAGATGGGTGATAAAAGAGAATTCGTGAATTTTCTTTCTGGAGAAATCGAAAAGCTGTCCAATTAGTATAAGAGAATTAATTAAATCGACTTAAAAATTTGAAATGATAATGAGGTTACCACACTTCACGAGAAAAAAGGGAGAACACCTCTTTCGATTCAAGGAGGCAAATCATCACGATAAATATATCCTGAGATCACGACATGACGCATCGTGACGAAGAGGAATGGACGATTCGGTTAGCATGGTGAAATCTAATAGAGTTGCGATTTTTCTAGACCTAGAAAGCCTTTCAAAAAACTTAGATCGATTGTTCTTTATATAAGGTCACTCGACATTGTTAGAAGGTGTACATGCACGTTTTCCACGTTTTGCATGCGGTCAGCTTGCAGGGACCCTGATATGGTGTCTTTTTCCACGTTTTCCACGTCACAAAACGTGACACAGTGTTCTTGTTCGGTTCTGTCTTTTTCCTGTAATGGTGTTTTTCTTTGCCAAAAGTACTAAATGTCGTTCTTGTTCAATGCAGCAAACCGGCTATGTATAGTGTGTCGTCAGAAATAACGATGCACTGGATGAAAGCAGGAGGAAATTCGTTGTTTGTTATGATGCAATGCCGCTTGATCTCTAGGAGACTCGACAAGCGAAGACCATGCGCTTGGTGGACACCGATTCCTCCGTTGCCGACGATAATTTGCCCATGTTGCCGCCTTCTACTGCAGTTCGCCACCAAG